TATTTATTTTGTCATAAGAAAGATTTGAATCCAGTGTCCTTTTTTTCTCCCATGTGTATGTAGGTACCACATACATAACCCACGTCTTCATGCTTCTTTCAAGTATCAACTTTGTCCTATATTGCCTTCATTATTCTTTGTACTGACCTGCTGATCCCTGTCCCAGCACCAAAATATTTGTTTATAACCTCTTAATATGTTTTTACTATAGAGCTTATATCACTTATTGTTCCAAATTTTGCTTTAGCTAATCTTCAGTGTGTTTTTCCAAATGAATTTTGTGTCATTTTGTTAGTCTTGAAAAAAATCTTATTTCAATTTTGAGAATTGTTTGGAAGTTTTAACCTTTAACCTTCACTTCTGTTAGAGTTTTCTTCAGGTCAGTCCTGGAATAGACATAACTTCACATACCCATCTCTCTCTTTCTTTCTCTCTGGTGTTGAATCTCTTTTTCTCTCTTCCTCTCTGTCTCTCTGTCCCTCCCTCTGTCCCTTTGACATGGTATTAAATGAAGAATTCCCTAAAAGCAACTCATCAGGAGGAGTTCCCAGAACCTAGGCAAGACATGAAGTGTAGTGAAAGTGATAGGAGAGTGTATTAGGTAAGAACACACTGTCAATAGACTAACACATCATCTTTAGGGTGAGAACACGATGGTATTTTTCCACTGGACACAGGTTTTAATTGAAGTTTAGGGCCTGGAGCATTACAAGCCTGCCAGAAGCACCTACAGGGCAGAGGTCACCATTAAGTGACACATTTTTAACTCATTCAGTGCCAAGAGGCTGGAGGGAGGGCTCTTCTCCACCCCCCCTCACAATATAGTTTAGGATCTGGGTTAAGTTAGAGATCTAGGAACCATTTCTTGTCATTCACGTGAGGCCAGAATAAAACTTTTCCTTAATCTTGAGGGAGTCAAAAAAACATCTTGTGACATTATAAGAATATTTTCACAGTGGGGCATTGGAGGCTCACACCTGTAATCCTAGCTGCTCAGGAGGCTGAGATCTGAGGATCCCAGTTCAAATCCAGCCTGGGCAGGAAAGTCCATAAGACGCTTATCTCCAATAAACCACTCAGAAAAAGCTGGAAATGGAGCAGTGGTTCCAATGGTAGAATGCTAGCTGTGAGCAAAAAGAACTGAGGCCCAGAGTTCAAGCACTAGGACCAGAACAATTGAAAATAAATAAAAGAATACTTTTGGGGCTGGGAAGGTGGCTCAGTGGTAGAGCGCTTGCCTTGCATGCCTGAGGCCCTGGGTTCAATTCCTCAGCACCACATAAGCAAAAAGAAAAAAAGCTGGAAGTGGCACTGTGGCTCAAGTGGTAGAGCGCTAGCCTTGAGCTGAAGAGCTAAGGGACAGCGTCCAGGCCCAGAGTTCAGGCCCCACGACCAGACCCAAAAAAAAAAAAAAAAGAATACTTTTACAACAGGTTGACAGATCATGATGAAAGCTGGTCATTTGTGAGTTGGAAATTTTAATTACAGTATTTGTGTCCCCCACCCCCCTAGAGACATTGAGGTTTCTTGCTGGAGTTCCGGTTTCCTTTGCTACCTATAATTCTTCTCTATTTATAATAATAAAGGTTAAAAAAAAAAAGTTAAGCCGGGTGCCGGTGGCTCACACCTGTAATCCTAGCTACTCAGGAGGCTGAGATCTGAGGATCGCCTGTCCAAAGCCAGCCCAGGCAGGGAAAGTCAGTGAGACCCTTATCTCCAATAAACCACTAGAAAACTGGAAGTGGTGCTGTAGCTTAAGTGGTAGAGCGCTCTCCTTGAGATGAAGAGCTGAGGGACAGAGCTCAGACCCAGAGTTCAAGCCCCACGACTGACCAAAAAAAAAGGGGGGGCTGGGAAGGTGGCTCAGTGGTAGAGCGCTTGCCTTGCATGCATGAGGCCCTGGGTTCGATTCCTCAGCACCACATAAGCAAAAAGAAAAAAGCCGGAAGTGGCACTGTGGCTCAAGTGGTAGAGCGCTAGCCTTGAGCTGAAGAGCTGAGGGACAGCGCCCAGGCCCAGAGTTCAGGCCCCATGACCGGACTCCCCACCCCCCCCCAAAAAAAAAAGAAAAAGAAAGTTAAAAGACTTGAGTATGTTTACAATGTATTTTTACTCTGTGTGTGTGTGTGTGTGTGTGTGTGTGTGTGTGTGTCCTGCAACTTGAGTTCAAGGCCTAGGTGCCGTTTCTGAGCTTTTATTGCTCAAGGCTACTGCTTTACTATTTGAGCCAGAACACCACCTCTTTTCTGGGTGCTTAATTGAGCTCAAGTGGTAGAACACTCACCTTGAGCTGAAGATCTCAGGGAGAGCGCCCAGGCCCAGAGCTCAAGCTCCATGACCAACCCCCACCCCCCAAAAAAAAACAAAAATAAAAACAAAAACTTCCCTAAAATATCTGTATCGTTGAGATTAAAACTAAATATAGCAATGGCTACAAAAATTGGGACAATGGAATAATAATATTTTGAGATATTATATATTGAGATACATGCTTTATACTGATATATATTGAGATACACACTTTCACAACTGAAAAGTTAAAATTATATTCCAATTAAAATCATTTTGGCTTCAGTGCTCTGGAATGAGGGAATGGCCAGATTTTTCTGTAAAGGTCAAGATAGCAAATATTTACAACTTGTGGGCCATATAGTCTCTTTTACATATATATGAATGTGGTTGTGTTCCAATAAAACTTTATTTATAAATGTGACAGCATGTTCTGGAGCAGTAACTTCCCTCTCTCCTCCTCTTCTTCTTCTCCTTTCTTTTTTGTCAGCCTTGGGGCTTGAACTCTTGGCATAGGCCCTATCACTGAGCTCTTCAGCTCAAGGCTAGCATTCTACCACTTGAGCCACAGCGACACTTCCGGCTTTTTCTGTGTATGTGGTACTGAGGAATGGAAACCAGGGCCTCACACATGCTAGGCAAGCACTCTACCACTAGGCCACATTCCCAGCCCTGGCTGCTCTCTCTCAGACACTCCTTTAGCCTGCTATCCACAGGGCCCTACAGAGCCTCCACTGCGCTCCAGTGGTGTCTGTCTGCCCTCTTGCTGTGTATCTTTGGTTGCACAGTCGACTGAGGCACCCAAGGAAGATTTCTGAATAACTTCCTGCTGCAGCCTGGAGTGAAAGGAGACCTTTTTCGGATCCAGAGGTGGTGGTAATCCCAGCCACTTGGGAGACAGAGGTAGGAGAATCTTTGTCCAAGTTTGGCCTGGGCATAACCTTAAGTTATGCATGACTCAAGCGGTACAATCCTAGGACATCCTACATGTTTATATTCTGAAAGTTAAGGATAAATGGCTCACAATGACAAGGGGTTGATTTTCCAGGGAGAAGGATTTTGCAGGGATCTTCTAATAACTATACAGGTGCTTCCATACACTCGCAGCCCGACCCTTACACAGCGGTTCTCCATCTGCAGTCCCCAGATCAGAGCAGCAGCACAGGTTGGGAACTAGTTAGAAATGCAGATTTTCAGGCCCCTCACTTAGGCCTATGCCTATGGACTTAAACTAAATAAATGCATATGTAAAGATGAACTCATCTGAATTTCTTCCAGGTATCAGTGTTGGTCTTGCTGACGGTGGCTCTAAATCACATTCTCCCCTGGTTACTGGTTGAGCACATCTCTTCTACAGCTGAAAGACACACAGCTGGCCAGGGGCTGACAGCCCAGCCCCAAACCCACCATGTCTAAGCCCTACCTCAGTTTCTCCTTATATTTCAGGCCTGTATGATCCTCCTGACCTCTCCCCAAAAGGCTCACAACTCCCTTCCAGAAACTGCCTGGGGCCAATCCTTGAGTGCCCTCCCACCACGGCGGCTTTCATTAGGCTGAGTTCCCAGTGGTCCCCCCCAGGAGAGGTGCCCTTTGGGCCCAGGGTGAGGGAACTACTGCTGAGGGGAACAAAGTGACCAGGGTTCAGAGCCAGGAGCCTACAGCATTGGAAGAGCGCGGCTTCCAGATCTCCCCGGCTGCCGCCCAAACCCATTCCAGCCCGCGAGGACCATGGAGAGGCACCCGGGGTGTAGGGACGGTGACTGACCCCACCCCGGCCCCCCCAGTGGCCCGGCCTCCTTGGGTCCTGAATCTTGGCTCATCAAGTTCCAGGAAGACCGAAGGGGACCAAGCAGCGCCCACGCCTTCGCCCGCGGGTCCCCCAGGAGGAGGGTGGTGGGGGCGCACGGTCGTGGGGTTCCCTCCGCCCCCAGCCCCGCGCCGCCCAGGGTGTGCCGGAAGCCCGCAGCGCGGTGGGGAGGAGGGGGCTCGGGGCTGGTCGCCGCCCCCCACGCCACGGCGCGACCCGGTGTGCAGGGAGCACCCGACCTCCCCCTACCAGCGGCTTCTCCCGCCCGTGCTCCGATCGCTGTCCAGCGCCCCCTCCCTCCCCTTCCCGCTCGCGTCCGTCTTCGCGGTGGCGCAGCTCGGATCCCAGCCCTAGCCGCGCGCGCACAGGTTAGGCTCGGCGGGGAGGCGGCGCCGCCCGGCCCGAGGGCCACCTCGGGCGCACCTGCCCCCGGGGCGGGGCGGAACGGGGCGGAGCGCGGGGCGCAGGGCGCAGGCCCGGACGCTGGGGGGGGCTGTGGCTCTCCGAGTGTCCCCGCGGCCCGGCGCGGCGGCGGTCCGGCTCCCCACCCCGTCCCCTGCCGAGGGGGCCGGCCCAGGCCCGGGAAGGGGCGGCGGCCGCGGGCACTTCCCGCTCGCGGGGCTCGGAGACAGCGGGTCCCGCGCGGGCGCAGCGGCTGCGGGGCGCTCGGCGAGGCGCGGGGCGGGGACGCGGCCACCGCCCGCTCTGCGCCGCTCCTCCCCGCGCCGGCGGCGCTCGGTCCGGCGTCGAGGCGGCCATGGCGACCCGGAGCCCGCTCCCCACCCACCCTGCCTGCTCCGCCCTCCCCTCCGCCCCGCGCCGCCTTTGATGGCTCGGACCTCGGCCGGCCGCCGCCAGCCCCGTTCGCGCTCCCGCGCCGCCGCCGCCGCCGCCACCGCCCGCGGGTATTAATAGCGCGGAGCCGCCGCGCCCTCGCCAGCCGGGGGCCCGGGAGCCGCGGAGCCCGGAGCCCGGGACTGGAAGCCGCCGGCGCCGCCGAGGTAGGACGCGCGCGCGCGGGGAAACAATGCCCGCGCCGGGCTGGGCGGGCGCCGGCGGGGTCCCGGCCGCGGGCGGCAACTTGTGCGAGTCCCGGTGCCCGCAGCGCCGCGCAGCGCCGCGCAGAGCCGCGCAGCGCCTGGGCGCGAGCCGGGGACGGCGCGGGGCCCGCGGGGTCCCCGGCCGATCGAGGCCCGGGCAGCCCGGCGACAATAGCGGCAGGAGTTCTGGGCCCTCCAGGCTCCTCGCCGCCCGCCGCACCCTCCCGGCTCTCCTCCGCCGGGCTCGGCCGCGCGGTGCCCCGCCGGTTCCCCCCGTTCCCTTCCAGTCCTCCACGCCGCCGGTCTCCCGGGCGCCCTTCCCCCGCTTTCCTTCCACCCCACCCTGCCGGTGACAGCGCCCCTCGCCGCTTCCGGGGACCCGAGGCCTCTTGCTCCGGGTCCCCGAGGCCGGCGGCGGGCCGGGGAGGTGGCGGGTGGCGTGGATGCCACCGCACGCCCGGTGCCCCGCGGCTCGTCCCCGCGCGGGGCCGAAGGTTCGGGGTGGGCGACAAAGGAACACGCCCTCTGCCAAGTTAGGTCTGATCTCTCCGGCGTGCCTTGATGGAGGGCAAACTTTGGGTCATCTTCGATCATTATTATTATTCATATAAAGCAAAGGACAGATACGTTTTTTTAAAGGACACATATCTCTAAAATTAAACATTATTTTTTAATGTATTTTAAAACAACAACTTCTGGTGGTGGTTGGTTTTCTTTTTTACGATTTAAGTTCCACAAACTTTAGCCATGTGATCGTTGGACCCCTGAGGTGTGTGTGTGTGTGTGTGTGTGTGTGTGTGTGTGTGTGTGTGTGTGTGTGATTTGAGAAGGGGAAAAAGAAAAAAAATCCACCCCCAAGTTCCCTTGTAATGTCTGGATTTCATTTATGGCAGCTGAAGGCCAGCGGCTATTGGGGATTATGTAGGGGTCCCCCAGAAAGGAGGGCGCGGAGGCTCACAAAGGACCCGGGTCCTCCAGGGGGAGGGAGCTCTGGAGATGGGGGAGCGTTTGCTTCTCATCTGGAACCGGTTATCCGCCCGGACTCCCCGCCCCCCGGCTCTGGAGTTGCCGGCCTGGGGCTGTTTCCTTTTATGATGGTTGTTAAAGCCTTCCTTGTCAGTTTAGTTCCCCAGGTCTGACCCGCACGGCGTGTTAGGGAGGGGGGAGGGGTTTGGGCAGGGGGCTGCGGCCCGAGGACCCCAAGGGACTCCCGTGTCCTCCATCCAGCCATGAGCAGCCAGCGTTTTCTGAGCCAAACCTGCCCCGGGGGAGGGGAGAACTGGGTTCTGTTGAATGCTCCTTCCACGTGGTGCTTTTTGCCAAGCCCATTTCTGAACACCTCCTGGCCCAGCTTTGTCTAGGCTTTTCTTCTTCAATCCGAACCAGGAATGGAGAAGAAGAACAGCTTCTGGGGGTTCTGAAAGCTTTTGGGGGAGTGGCCTTACATGTTATTTATTTATTTATTATTTATGTTTGGGTAAGGCAGAGCCCTGCGCCCGTCCTCTGGCGACCTTCTGCAGGCCACCTCCCGGCCGGGCTTGACCCTCAGCCTCTGATGGGTCGGTTTTCCGGGTAGGACACTTCCCGTCCACGCACTTCATCCGTGGGTGCAGCGTGCACGTGGCTCACTTTGTATTCCTGCAGCATCGTTCTGCAGTAAGGCACCAATATTGGAGTTCCTCCAAGCACAACCAAACGTTTGTGTTTTTAGGACTTCTGGCTAATAGATCTGCTTCTGAGTAAAATAAATAGAAGCATTATTGGGCAGTGGCTGGTTTACAGGGGAACCTTTGGTGGAGATAGTGAGCAGATGCCTGCTTAGCCCACAGTGCTTTCTAGAATCGCTTACTTGTGTATGTGGATGGGAAAGCAGAAATACTTCAGAGCATGCTTATAGGGACTCAGATTTTATAGTGTCATCTGGAATTATTTTTTCGTTGCTGGTACTGGGATTTGAATTCAGGGTCTGGGTGTTGCCCTTTTGACTTTTTTTTTAGCTCAAGGCACTAGCCTTGAGCTCCACTTCCAGCTGTGTCTGTGTGTGTGGGAGGGGGCGGGGCTAATTGGAGGTAAGAGCCTTACAGACTCCTGCCCAGGCTGGTCTCAGATGGATCCTCAGATCGCAGCTTCCTGAAAAAGTAGGGTTATAGGCCACAGGAATCATCTTTGTGTTTTGGGTAGGGGGTTACATTTGAGTTTCTGGAAGCCCTTTTGAGGTTAGATTTATAATGCTGCCCTGTAGTTCCCCCTCCCCCCCTTAAAGTTTTCTTCTCTGTCTCTGTCTCCTCTGTCTCTATCTTTTAGACAGAGTATGTAGGCTGGCCTCAAACTTGTGATCCTCCTTCCTCAGCCTCCGGAGTGCTGGGATGGCAGGCCTATTCTACCACACCTAGTTATAATCCATCCTTCCTTCCTTCCTTCCTTCCTTCTTTCCTTCCTTCCTTCCTTCCTTCCTTCCTTCCTTTCTTTCTTCCTGCTTTCTTTTATGGTTATTAAAAAGGTGATGGACAGAGGGGTTACAGTCAGGTAGAGAATACACTTCTTTTTGGACAGTGTCACTCCTTCCCTCCGTCTCCCTCACTTTTTCCCCTCCCATCCCCATCCACAAGTTATATAGTTCATTTTCAACATAGTGTCCAGTGAGCGCCATTGCTGCATTGGTTCACTTTGTCCCTCCATTTCTGTGTAGTTATAATTCTTATAATTCAGAATTATAATTCTGCTTCCTTTTTCCTGGCATTTATACAGGGTTATATTAGAATTTTTTAAAATTTTTTTATATTAGAATTTTAATGCTACTCTGTAGCCAAGTTTACCAAAAGAAAACATTTCAATAACCTATTATTTTACAAGAAAACCCCAGCTTTCTGGGTTCTTGCAGCTGTTTTAAAATTGCCCTAAAACTGCAGAGGACTTGGGTAAATGTGGTTGCTTTGTTTCTCATTAAGGAACTGGTCAGGGCTGGGGAAGCAGCTCTGTGGTAGAGCACTTGCTTGGCATGAACAAGTCCGTGGGTTTATTCCCAGCATGGCAAACAACAGCAACAATAAAACTAAAACAACAGCAAGCAAAGCAAAACCAAATTCATCTACAGTTATTTTCCTCAGACAGTAAGAATTAAATATAATATTGAAAAGGTTAGCCCAGCTCCAGTGGCTGAGACCTACAGTCCTTGCTACTCAGGAGGCTGAGAGTTGAGGATCTCCTGTTGGAAGCTGGCTGAGGCAGGCAAATCTGGAAGATTCTTATCTCAAGTGGTAGAGCACCAGCCATGAGTGAAAAGACTGAGAGCTTGAGGCTTGGCGTTCAAGCCTTAATATTATTAGCACGTGTGCATGCTGTGTACACACATACACACACACAATTTGTAATCTCTCATGGAGCAAGTAAAGGTTTATTTGGAAAAAGAGTAGAGGAGGATGCTGTGGTAAACATTAAAAATTAATGTTTTCTATTTTAGAGGATGTTCAAGAGCACTAGATGGAAGACAAGAACCTAGTGCTTGCTTATTGAACATGCTTAAGAAAATTGACCTTATGAAATTCCAGACGATGGGGGAAACTGATATTATGGGTATATAATAGCATGGTGAATGGACATTGTAAGCAAAAACTTTTGGAGCTGAATCTGCTTACTGGCCAGAATGGCTTACTATTTGTGGGGAAACGCATGTAAATTTCCTCTCATTAAAGATACCACATACTCCCAGTGCCAGTGGCTCATGCCTCTAATCCTAGCTACTCAGAAGGCTGAGATTGGAGGATCATGGTTCAAAGCCAGCCGGGGTAGGAAAGTCTATGAGACTCTTATTCAAAATCACAGAAAAAGCTGAAAATGGCACTGTGGCTCAAGTGGTAGAGTGCTAGTCTTGAGCAAAAGGAGCTCAGGGACGGTGCCTAGGCCCAGAGTTTGAGTCCCAGGTCTGGGGTTTAAAAAACAAAAATGCCACATGCAAGAAGGGTACCTGGTCGATGCAATAATACAGCTCTTTCCACTGCCTTGGGTGTACAAGTGTTGGTCACCATTTGCTTGGGAGAGGAGGGTGGGCTGAGGTCCCTCCGGGCTGTGTGTCCTGTCCTTAGTAGTTCTAACTGGAAGGAGAGCTCTCTCCACACCGTGAGACTGGATAAGTGGTCAGCTTCTCTCTTGCTTTGTAGCAGCTGGGATTCCTGAGGTGTCTTCCCCTGCCACGTGGGCGGGTTTGATGGCTACCTTACTAACCACTTCCACATGGCTCAGAAGATCAGAGCAAACGCCTGCCAGGGTAATTGCTCGAAGTAATGACTTGTCTAGTTCTTTATGCCCAAACCAAGAAATCCCTCAAAAATGAAATGTTGATTCAATATAGAGAGGCTAACTTTGTGAGAAGGGTGTGTGTGTGTGTATGTGTATGTATACATGCGTATACCAGTACTGGGGCTTGAACTCAAGGCCTTGTACTCTCGCTTGACTTTTTCTCCCAAGGCTGGTAACCTGCCACTTGAGTTATTCATCCGCTTCTCACTTTTTACTGGATAATTGGAGATAGGAGTCTCTTTCTTTGTCTGTCTGGGCTGGCTTCAAACCATGATATTCAGATCTCAGCCTCCTGATAGCTGGGATTACAGATGTGAGCCACTGATGGCCAGCTTTGCAGTTTTATTTTACTGTTGGATGAAAATTATGCACAAAAGGCAAGGTTTACAGTTAATGTAGGAATTCATTTTTCATTTTTCTCCTCCTCCTCCTCTGGCTCTTCCTCTTCTTCCTCCTCCTGGCTCCTCCTCCTCTTCCTCTTCCTCCTCCTTCTCCTTCTTCTTCTTCCTTCTCCTTCTCCTTCTCCTCCTCCTCCTCCTCCTCCTCCTCCTCCTCCTCCTCCTCCTCCTCCTCCTCCTCCTCCTCCTCCTCCTCTTCCTCCTCCTCCTCCTCCTCCTCCTCCTTCTCCTTCTCCTTCTCCTTCTCCTTCTGTCCTGGGGCTTGAA